TTTTTTTAGTTTGTGCTCTTTGAAAGAACGTGCCTCTACTTTATTACATGATGTGCCTGTTTTGGCTCTTGAAGGACGGATGAATTGCTGTGACGGGTTGGATTTGGCCCGCAGGCCTTGAGTTTGACGCATGCTTAATCTAAACCATGCCACTGTAGCTGTGAATGTATGTTTTCAGCCATTATCCTGCTGCAGGGCTCAAGGTTTTTGCAGTCTGACAGGTTTTCTTTCAGGACCGTTCTTCCTTTAGCTCTTTTTATTATCCTGTCAACTCTACCCAGCTTCTCAGTCCCTGCTTAGGACCACAGCCTGATGCTGCCTCAATTTGTAATTCAAGTTTTTGGGCTGTTGGTTTGTTTCTCATCACAGAAACGTTTTTAATCCAAGTCAAAACGTTTGGGGACAGACGATTCACACTTGAGTTTTTTTGTTTGTTTTTAAGATTATTTTTAGGCTCTAATTCCTTTTTTTTTCTATTATATCAAAAGTAGGAAACAAGATTAGAGAGAGGGGGAAGATGAGGCAAAGTTCACCAGGCTGATACTCCAACATGTGACGGCCGTGTTGAGGTCTACGTCATTGGACGTTTACTTTACCCTTTAAACTTTCATCATCTAGTGGTTTTTGCAGTGACGATAAAACAGATGACAAAAAGTCATTTAGAAACAAATTTCATTGTTTTTGACAATAAATTGGATCTGATTGGATGTCAGCCCTACAGACACAGACGCTGCTCTAACAGAGCTATCCAAAATCATCAACAAACAAATTGCAGATTTTTTTGATTATCTATATCAGGACATTAGTTATAATAACTAGTCTAGTCTTTTTTGGCTTAACAGAAAACAATAACTGCAATAATTACACACCTGGACTTTATCTGCCCATTGGTTGATCTCTGAAGGCAATAGATTGCATTGGATATCATTTAGGGGTATCAGAGTATGATAATCTGAATAAATAATGTACTATTTTTATTTATAAAAAAGGTGTTTAAAAACCATGTATACTTTTTGTAGCATCCAGTGCAATTAGAAAAGGCCAGAAGTGGTGGTTGAAAGGTTTATTTGAACCATCCGTGCCTCCGACCAACGTAAGAGCTACAAACAATTTACAATTACAATTTAGTACACCATGCTTAGCTCATTACATTGGTAACTTTTCTGTATTAAACATTTTCTAATTAACACAAACCTTGTTCCTCAATTGACTGATGCTTTAAACTTTACTATTATATGACTTTCCGTGGTCCTTTAATCAGTTTCTCTTGCAACGTTTTCTTCCTAACTTCCGGTTTTACGGACCCGTTTTGTGTTAAGCTAACTTCCGGTTTTACGGACCCCTTTCAAAATAAAAGCATAGTCCTCTAATATAGCCATCATGTAAAAAAAAAAAAAAAAATTTTATTATTTTTTTTTTTTAACCACACTCTTCTACCGTTACACTTTTCATTGTACAGTTTTGGACCAATGTTGGTATGCTTGAGCTCGTGGCCTCGAAGTGCAGAATCTGAATTCCTTTTACTACCGTTGTGCAAAAAAAATTTATAAAATGCAATATATAAATGTATGTTTTTATATATAGTACATTTCTTAAATTATTTATGAATATAGAATTAATTGAGAATATATTTTAAAATGTATTGTGTATAAAAGCATTACAAAATAAAATGATGTATGAATAACAAATATTGATGAAATAATATTCTGTCTTCTTTCATATTGATATTATGCTATATTCTTTTATTAAGGATGAAGAAGCACAAAAAGAGCTGGATTTACTCTGCCAAAAACTCTGACTGAGAAGACTTGAGGAATCATCCTGAAGCTGCGCTGTAGTTGCTCCTGATGTAGATCTAAAACCAGAGGAAAGTGGCTGAAAATATCTGTTTGATTCACTCTGTGAGTGTAACCATGATGTTCAATCAATAGTGGGACCACAAGGCACCGTCCTTCTCCATTTTTTTGGTTTTCTTTTCTTTTTTAAACTGATGTTTTAATATCTCAACGGTTAGGTTTTGGTTTCTTATGAAATTATAAGTTTGTTTCTGTCAGATTTAGCTATTTGTTGATTTACATGTGCTGTGAAGATCTACTGTACTTTTATTTTTATAGGGTTTTTGTTTTGTACTTGCTCCAGACTTTATACCATCGGTCACTTCAATGATTCATAAACTAGTGGCGTGGCAGATGTGGTTGTGAGGAACAGGCATGAAATTAATTTTAGTTTCCAACTGAAATGAGAGCGATGGGTCATATTCCAAAGTAACTCACAGTGAGAAACAGTTCAGTCTGTGAGCCAAATTCTACCGTTTACAGGCAGAACAAGTTTTTTTTTTACAAGAAACAGGAATGAATCTGAAAGCTCCCCTTGGACTTGCTTCGACAGACTGCAGATGTGGTTATTCCCGTCACTGGAATCGGTAGTGAGCAGAAACCGATTATGAAATAAAAGAAATAACCTTTCTCACATTAAAAAGTCATCCATAACAAGGTCTTACAGTAAACCAGGGAGATGCTGAGTCAGTTTTATTAAGTGAAGTTTGCAATGCTGTGCCAAATTTGGGGCACTTTTTAACGCATCATTCAGTCTGGATTATCCTTACCACTGTAGTTCACTTTGGAAAACCTGCTCTGGTATTCCCAAACATTTTTTTTGTCGTTTTTATAATCCGAAAGTAGTGAAGTTCTGCTTGATAGTACTTCTGACTGAATTTAAGGGTTTGGTTTATGTTGACGGATAAGATGTTCACACTAAATCAAACACTTTTTATAGAATAAAAAACAAGGACGACCTTCTTTATGCTATTTAAAGTTGTTCTTGTCTGTGTGACTTTGACGTATTTTTCAGACTGAGCATAAAAGCATAAGGAAAGGTTACGGTAAATATTGGCTTATAGCAGACTTCGTGTATCTGTTTTTCTCTAATGGGTTTAGGTTTCCGGCCTTTAACCTCCCTGATGTCTTTAGGGTCAGAAAATAAAACCTCCGACAGCTCTGGATGCAGTGATGTCATAACTGCGCACCTTTTTAACCTCAGTCGATCATGAATTTTAATTCTGAAACTGCACACGAGTAACAGTGAACTCTCCCATGTTCTTTAGCCTCTGAGAAAGTGAAATTACTTGATCAGTGTGGAGGAGGTGATGAGGAACGGGAAAAATATCCCCCAGGATTTGTTGGAAAATGCAGCTGTGAATCATCTGGGCTCTGATTTACATATTTCTCCCTGAAGCAAACCTGAATGTCAGACTTTCTACACTTTATTGCTCTGATATGTTTATTTTTTTAATGTTCTACATCAATGTTAAGATGTTTTATTATTTTTATTTCTTTAACATGTAAAGACGAATCTCATTACACTTCATTTATATGTATAAAGTTTGAAACGATGCTGATTTAAAGGTTATTTAAGCTGTAATCTAATGATAATGTAAAGAAACATGTAACCGGACTTTGATCATCAGGGTTTTTTGTTGTGATGAAAAAAAAATCTGTATATTGCTTTGTTGTTTTTGTTCATTTGAATGTATCTTAGCTACTATTGATTGACTACATTTGAATGCCTCATCTTTATCCTGTTTCTTTACATTCCTCAATGTTGTCTTTATCTATTGGCACCTAATGAAAACATGCAGAATGGATTATATCAAGAAGAACATTGATTTTCAGTTTGATGAACCATTACTGTGTGGATTTAACCCAGACGTCTTCCACAAGGGCGTCTAAAGATTTCGATTTAAGATGACAGTGACACAAATGTTTTTACCTAAAGATGAAAAATAAAAAATACAATTTTTTTTTAGCAGTTTTTCTGCTTTTCTTTAATGGAATAGTTGCCTCACAATTCCACAGCATAATAGGATAAAAAGTCCCTGCAGTGTAAATAATTTTCTTTTTCTTGCTGCTATGTTGGAAACCTTTTTTCTACTTATTTTATTTTTACCAGATTTCAACATCCAGCTGACATTTTTCCAATCTTTCATCTTTTTTATATATTTTGTTTTATTTTAAATCCTCATAGTGTATTAAAATTGTACTCTTTTAGAAAATGACCATGTTACTGTGTGATCAATTTGTAATTCAGAATCATTAGGCTGCTCAGTGGCGCACTGCTGCCTTACAGCAAAAAGGTTCCGGGTTCGATTCCCTTTCTCCATGGAGTTTTCATGTTCTCCCTGTGCATGCGTGGGTTCTCTCAGGGTACTCCAGACTTCTCTAAATTCTCCTTAGGTGAGTGTGTGTGTGTGTGAATGGTGGTTTCTCTCCATGTTGCCCTGCGATGGACTGGCGACCTGTCCAGGGTGTAGCCCGCCTCTCGCCCATAGACAGCTGGAGATGGGTACCAGCACCCCTCGTGACCCTGTTTGGGATAAGCGTGACAGAAAATGGGTGGATGGTTTGGCTGAGGGTATAAACAGAATAGAATTCAACTTTATTGTCCCTCTGGGATCCAGGAAGAGGTGGGCTTCTTCTAAGAAGTAGGCTTCCAATCCTAAAGAATGGTGTCACTTGAAAGGACATTGAATGTAGAAAGCAGGCGTCGATCAGAGTAAGTTTTTGCAGAAGAAGTGTTAAAGATGCTACCTCTCTCACTACCTCTTGCACGCTTAACACGTCGTGCTCTACCATTTGAGCTTATTCTCCACGTGCAAATACCTCATTTAATTTTTTTAAAAATCCCAACCCCATACTGATCCAATGCATAACTATTTGCATTGGATCAGTACTCTGTTAAAAGACCATGTGACACTCAGTTTTTTATTTTGTTTTTCTTGATGTAATATGCCCCACTTTATACAAGCCTGACATTACCAAGAGAAACCCCAGTAACAGTCCGCAACTAGAGTCTTCAGTCTTCAGCTCAGTCTCCAGCTAAAGTCCCTGGAGGATTTAGGAAAACTGCACGTTTCTGTCTGTGAACTTATTCTCCTAAAATGCATCTTCAGTTTGGAGCATGGATAAAGGGGCATCTTCTGCAAAAACTTACTCTGATTTATGTTGTAGATGAAGGTCGAGGTCATTTTTGGATCATCATCCTGGTGAAAAATTGAATCACTACCTTATAAATAGTTTGCAGAGCTTAGGGTGAAAGAACACCATAAATCCTTTCCATTACTTACCAATTATAAAATGTTTCCACGTTCATCCTTTAACTCATATCAGACCCAAATAGGTGCTTTGCTTCTGGAAAACTCATCCTTGGTCCCGTCCCACCAACGCTTCAGGTCCAGTTGAATTGGGAGATTCCACAGGTTTATGTCAGTGATGGTCGGCCGAGAAAGGAATTTCCTGGAAAGGAAAGACGGCAGCGTTTTTCCAACGTGTGAAACCCACTCTTTGCTGCTGCAGTATTCCAATAGTGAGATATTTTTACCTCATTTGAAATCCTTGTAAGTTTTTGTGGAAAAAAAAACAACTTTGGGTTTCATGTAGTTTTGTATCTCACATGAATTCAAAGATTTTATAACTAGTTAAGTGGCTTTTATATGACTTAAATAATTTGTTTTGATCTCCTTGCTTTTCCTATTTTAAAGAGTGAAATTTGTTTGGGTCGTGTCAGATAAACCCAAAGTTACAGCTTTAAGCCAAATATTATGCATTAAAAGATTAATTTACATTTAGAAAACATATTTGATTCATTTCATGTGATTTTAGCAAAAAATAGATAATGTGGTTAACTATACAATACATCGAAATGTTATTTCTTAAGTATAAAATACTACATCTGATGGTAATGATGCGCTACATTAGTATTACTCTTTTGCAATAAAATAAAGAAATAAAATTGCATAAGGCACTACGGAAACATTCTCAAATTGAAGTTAAATTTGTATCCACTGTTCCTGTGAAATTATAGATCTACTTTAAGATATTTCTTTTCTAGGGGTGCCAATATCTATGGTTAACATTTGATTAAATATTGTCTTTTAAAAGCTTTATTTTTTTCTACATGCATTCCTATTATGTAAAAAATATATATATATATATATATATATATATATATATATATATATATATATATATATACAAGATCTTATATTTTAGTTTTGTCACCTAATCAGTTTTTACTACTTGGATGAATTATTTCAAAAGCCAAAACAGGCTAAATAATTTAATTTTTAAGATGAAATTGTGCAGCTTAATGCAATAAATCTTAGTAAATCTCTGAAATACTAACTTAGTGTAATTTGCCCGCCTTGTTTGTGTTCTGGTTTTACTGTTTATAAAAAAAATAGCCTAGTTGGTTATATAATCTCCAACATATAATTAAAGATCTAAGCGATTCTTTTTTATATGCAGCTAAATTGTTCTTTTTCCAAAATCATCATGGAGTAACAAGTAGGCTCCTGTCAGAGTGGAGGGGGCGACTTAAATGATCGGGAAACTTCAATTCATTCCCTGGCTTCTCTCTGACTGAACATTGTGTGCCAGGACAGAGGGGAATTTGTTACTGGATTAGATTTAGGCCAACCTCCCACCGGTCTAGTCATGTTTCATTTGTTTTTCTCAGCAGAATCGCTCTAAATGGGTTCTTCCCATATCAGCGCAGATGTTTGTTTATACAGTGAGGGAAGCTTCACCTTTGCTGACTGCTTTTATAAGCCTCCTGCACACTTCGATCAGATGTATCGCACCAGACGGTTGCACAAACCACTTGCACTTGAAGTCTGCACACGTGGGACCAGATGTTGCGAAACAGTTCAAAAGTTGCATGTTTCTGCTTCTGTTTGCTGCCCACCATCAAAGATTTCTATGCCTTTATCTCTGTTGCAACACTGTTTATTATTCAGGTGAATGGCTCGCTGCCATGTTTTTTTATTGTGAACCAGGATTGGGTTTGTCATTCACTACTTGGCGTTCAAGAGGGTTTATAAATATTTCAAAGAAAGTCATGCAGGTACACAAGGTCAGTCTGCTGCTTTTCATCGACATTGTATGCCAAACAGACAATCCGACTTTGGTTTCACGGGTCGACAAACATGAAGTATTATGTATAAACTTTGGTGTAAATAGAAAAAAGCAAAAGCTATGAAAACCCAATATTTTTTTAGAGGCTTGCATATTATCAGTGGCACTTAATAGCGCAGACCTGAAGGTAAAAGTTGAAATGGTTTGTGTCCAGGATGTGTGGGATCTGCAGAGATGTTAACTTCTAGCCTACAAACAGTATCTTTAGCCCCGTTTACACTACACTTTTGAAACTGTGCCAACCTCGGTCAAAGCACGGTAATCAAGATACCCGTTGAGTGTAAATGGCACGCACAATTGAACCGAACTGCCAGACACAACCAAACCGCGCTAAACAGGTACTAGTTCATCTTTGGGGCTCAGCACGGTTCAGTTCTGGTTCGCTTCTCCGATAACAAAGAGCGAATGAGCAGACTCCGTAATCTGTAATCATGGAACTTCAGACATTAATAAAAATGCCAGCTTCTCTCTCATGCCGCACAATTTCCAGCGATGGAAAATCAGTTGGATCATCTTCCCTCTCCCTCCATCCAGGCTCCTTTTATTTTGGCTTCAATCAGCCTCTGCTGACACCTGTGTGCAGCAGGTTTCGGTGCACAGTTAGTGAGCACCGCCTCCTTAAACGACTTCAGCCCAGCTTGGGTTGTTAAAGGGGGAAAAGCAAAAAACAAAACAATCCAATTACGCAAAGCACAACAAAAAAAATTTAAATAAAAGAAAAACAGTCATGTTTTCCCCTGGGAATGTAGTGTTGATGCGTGCAACACAATCACACCAACACTACATTCCCCACGATGCAACGGTAGCACGCAAAGTCACAGCAGCGCTCATAAGCGGCAGTGGCCTGTGGGCCAGTTCTAATGGTAATTAAATATCTTCTAGGAGGCCATGTATAAACATGGGCCTTAACTTTGACATATGTGAGTTAAAGCTAATGTAAAATCTAATAGAAAGATAGCGAAGGACTGTTTAAAGAGCACGAAGCATCTGTCAGTCGTCAAACAAATCGTTCTTATATACCTAGGAAAATGTTTTGATCCAGATGCTAACCGTAAACAACTCCAGCTAGAAATTGGAGCTCTTTGTAGCATAGCTTGTTGCTACCCGATCCGTACCGGTAGCACGATCCGTACCATCAGCTCATTTGCGCCTGCGCGAACAGAATAACTTCCGGGTCGCCAAAAAATAATGTAATTACGTTACTGAAAAAACTTTATTTATATCCTTAAATAATTAAAGAATACTAAACTACATCGTAAAGCCAATATTGAAGACTTTTCTGGAAGAAATGGATGCTTTTTAAATTCAATCCATTGTATTGCTTGATGTCATTTTTCTGGAATAAAAATCCAAATTTTCGTGAAATGTTCCCTTATCAATGAAAAACTGCAGGTCACAAAAGGTAGCAAATGAATCCATTGTGGGATCAGTACTGCTGGAGTGCATAGTTAAGTACAGAGTAAATCAAATATTTAAACAAATTTAAATATATACGCTGTGTGACGTATATTTGCGCATGATCAGAGCAGTCAAAGTAACTATCACAAGGCGATTGAACTTTTTTATGTATTTCTGCTTTTTTATTTTTAGAAAATGCAATATTGACGAAAATACAAAGATATACAAAAAGAAACCCATGCCTCTAAAAAATACAAAAGAATAAAAAAGTAAGAAAAAGGAAATATTCCCACCGGAAGTTATTCTGTTTGCGCATGCGCAAATGAGCTGATGGTACGGATCGTGCTTCCAGTACGGATCGGGTAATGACATAGCTCTTTATCTGGGTTAGCATCTCCTAGCAGCAGCCGTACAAACATCAGCGTCCTTGTCCATTACTCCTCCACCTCCTCCTCAGACATTGGAGATTAAACATTAACGTTTTAACGTCACTC